ACTGAACACAGGAGCTCCAATCACAAGCTAAGGAAGCTGGACCGGAGCTCCAATCACAAGCTAAGGAAGCTGGACCCTCTGAAAGTAGTTTCCAAATTGCAGCAAATAAACTTGTTTTGGTTATTTGTTCCCAATAGAATGTAGGGATCATCTGGCTCACTGCCATGTGTCCAGAGAAGCACAGAGCCTTGGCACAAAACAGGCCATGCAAGAACGCTGCTAAAGCAAAGTACATTAGGCTTTCCCAACACTGGAACACTTGGTTAGGACTGTGCCTGTGCTTCCCAGTAGGGTCCAAATGCTGTTCTCAGGGAGGAACACAGGCTTTGCTAATCTTGGTTCATATGCCATGCTAGGGTTTCATTTTTGAACTTTAATGTTAAATGTCAAAATCCTCAAATTTTACAGGCAAAACAAGCATCTCTTGACCTATCTTTCAAGGTGTTTTTAAATTCTATCTACCGTGGACTAAAAACCATCCAGATCAGGCATGTTTGGTCTCAGCTGTAAATGTGGAGAACTGATTTTATATATACCAAACTGTTTAAATAATGTATAAGGCTTTTCTTTCAGACTTAAATATCATACATAATCTATACATTTCAAGCGCCTACAGAAAAATGCTAATACCACCAATTTTGTCACATCCATAGCAACCATTCTGGAAGAATGCTTTTTCTAACTGGGCAAGACCCCAGGCTATCTTTAAAAGCTCTGCCAGCTGCCAGCTTCCAACCACATCTGCCCATCAGGCATGTGGCTGCTTCTATCTTTAGAAGCCGTTAGGGACTTTCACCCTTAAGAGTTTCCTACACAGTAGTTGCATATGGGATTTATACTTGCTAAACAAAGACTAGATTCTGCCATTTGGGTTGAGAAGTAACCAATTCCCACTCCCAAATGGGTTAAAATGATGATGATGTGTGAAGTAGTTCATGCGACATTAGTCTCCACATCAGTGCTGCAGGCCAGCTTCAGCTCATTGGTGTCAGGCTTTTCAGTAGGTTCACTTTGACACTAAAAAGCACACTGAACTATTTTGGTATATTCTTCAATTTGGTTTTCATTTAGTAAGGTAAAGTACCACGTTATTGCCTGGCTGTTTTAAAAGCATTCCAAAGCCTTCTTAGATCATGCAGGGCCTCTTGGCCTCTTTTCATGTATTTATGGGTATCATGTAGCTCATGCAACCACACTGGCCTTTTGATGACCTCGAGGATTGCTTGTTATGAGGCGAAGCCCACACCACAGAGCTGCCAAGCTGAACCCTAGGACCTAGGGAATCCTGGGTCAGTCTAAAAATCCTTATTCTAAGTGATCCTACTTAGCAGTGTTTGGTCACTTAAATTTGTTTTTCTCCTGTCTCTACCTCCCCGGTGCTAGGATTATAAATGTGTGCCACTTCACCACACCCAACAGTAGTGTGCTGTTTCTTCATGAACAAGAGTATAACAGTTTTGGATAATTCCCCAAGACAAAGCAAACCTTGACTTATTTTATATAGTGGTCTCCATTTGTTCATGAAGGATACAACCTAAGTCTCCCCATGGATGTATACAATTGCAGGGAGAAACACACAAACTTTAACCTCTATGTATACTGTTTCTTCCTGGGCAGATACACATATGAACATATGATAAAGTTCAGTTTATAAAGTAGACACAGTAAGAGCTTGACAGCTCACGCAATAAACACAGTAACGTGCTCTGCTGCACTGCTCATGTTGAATCTTTAGGTAAACCGTTCTACTTCATCCAGACAATGAGACAAGGGACCCCAAAGCAGGTAATGAATGCACCATGAGGCTGTGTGCTATGAGGAAGACTCATGATCCAGCAGGGTGGGAACAGAACACTGTCAAACTTCATCATGCTACTCAGAAAGGAATGCTTCCTTCCTTTAACACAGTGAGGCCCCGGAGTGAAAAAACCACAGAGAAGCTTCAGTGAAGGACTGAGGCGTCACTTACTGTACTGAGATCAAGTGAGCCTGAGTCTCCCAACACTGTCCAAATGGCATATCAATATCTGAAATATACATTTTCTGTCAAGGACCTTGGTGGGGAAAATACAGGTAAGCAAAGAACTTCCAGTTTTTTATTTTTAAAAATTATTTAACAAGGAAAACAGTCAATCAAGATTTTAAAAATTAGAATGGATTAATTTACAACATAACAGTCAACTTAAAATATGAGCCCCTTTACTTAGAGTCACGGAGGCCAAAGTCCTCATTGGAACAGCAGGCGTACACAGCTGATGTTCTGACCTTTATTTGACAGCATGGAAATACAAAATTCACACAGCCTCCACCACCTCCCCTCTCTCCAGAGTTCAATACTTGTTTAGTTAAGAGTAGTACTCAGACTTTTAAAACCCAGTTGTATTTTTAAAAATATCTACAACTAATCTCATGAGAATACTCTTAAAACAATTCTTATAAAAAACAAACACCTTAAAATAAATTTGTGGCACATCAGACAGCTTAAGAAATAGCAAAAATAAAAACTAAGGTTTAAGAATTATCTTTTTTTTTTTTTTTTTTTTTTTTTTTTTTTTTAAGAAACCACCCAGGCAAAATGTTATTAACTCTGCTTCTCATAATTAGCAGAGATAATTACATGAAACAGAACGCACCATTTTCTGATCCTTGGTTGTAGCTGCCAGCTTGAGTTTATGACTAAATACATAGGAAGATAAGACTAAGCTCACACAATCTGGAATGAGGAAAGCAAACACTTCTCCTTATAAAGTTTTTGTCTATCTTCATATTCAAGTCATGAAAAAGTTCACAGCAGTTAAAAGGCTGATTCTACAGGTGGCTGCCTAAAACCAACTCACATCCACATCCCACACGGCACTCGTACAGGAACACTAGTAAACATAGTGTAACCAACTCATACAGTCTAAGTGCTGGAGCACATAGCATTGAACAGGCTTACACAGGTTAGGTATCATAGCTCTCAGAACACTTCATTTTCATACTTTCCAATGTGTGAACAAAGCTTAAATAACTGCCTTAAAGGAATATGTTCATTTGTGACAGCTGGCCAGGCACTTAAACTCAGGAAGAGAGGCTTTGTGATTCTGAGGTAAACCAGAACTCTTTTTAGTAACCACACATTCTAAATCCACTTTTTGATACCACCTGGACTACTCAGCTTTTAAGTTGAGCCAAAATCCATACCCTGTGGGACATAAGCTACCAAGAGCATCTGAAGCCTCAATTGGCTCCTTTTGTATATATATTACTGTGCTCAGAACACACGAGACCAACTATAGACCTATACATACAAGAGATATGGTCAAAAGCCAAGGGGAGTAACTTTCTCCCTAAATAGACACTAAGTTTAATAGACATTTTAGGTATACATCACCAGTCACAGACACATTAAAACAGTACAAGCCTGAGGTGATGGCCTCAGCAGCTTCAGGAAAATGACTCTAAAAGGCAGTGTTTAGGAATGCAAACCCCACTAAAATGGTCCCAGCATTAGCACAGTGTATGTTTCTCCCCTCTTCTGACTTAGTTCCATGGTGATGGGGAATTTGCTTAACAATGAAAATTTGTATTAGAAAGTAAAGGATCAGCCAGGTGTTGTGGAACATTCCTGTAATCCCAGCTCTTGGGAAGTTGACACAAGCAGACTGCTGTGAGTTTGAGGCCAGCCAGAACCACACAACAAGGTCCTGTCACAAACAAAGAATCCCAAGTATCTCAGTAGGTTTCTAGGTATTACAAAAACAGAAGAGAAAGTGGCCATTTCGGAATTACTTTCGGTTTTTCAATCAAGGTATTCATTTTACTTTTCCATTAGAATTACTAAGCTGAGTATTACACAAAAAACAAAACCAACTAATGAATTACCTGCAAATGGAAATACCAAACCCTATATATCAAGCATTAATGGCATTTTACATTCCTTTCTCAAACAGCAAAGGAACCCTCTTGATTTGAATGAATGCATCAGTTTTTGTTATTTGGAAAACTAACTTATTGACATGTTTTAAATACTTTAAAAAAGCTATATAGATTAAAGAACAGTTAGCCGATAGGGGAGAGAGATGGAGCGTTGAACTCTGGCTTTAGTTTCCATGTGACTAAAAATGAGAGTCTGAAAATGTAAAAACTTCTAAGTTTACCCCACTGCACACCAAATGTTTCCAGACCTGGTATAGGACCACTCTTTTATTCTTGTGGCGCTAACAGCAGGCACCAGGCAAAAACCTGTAAGCAGAAGCAATGGGCAGGGAGCAAATATGGGTGAATTTTTCTGTGATGCTAACTGGCTTGTTCAAGTTTTGAAACCATGACCTTGGTCCATTAGCACCATGGTTTATCCAACTGAAATAATTACTCAAGCCTCCATGGGATGCTTGAACTGCTACAGGATGAGGGACTGGGATAGTAACAAGGGGACTAAGGGCAACTCTATATATGCCATGAAGAAACATTGCAGCAAAGATATACTCTGCTAATAAACTATATTTGAGTTTGGAAGAATCATTGATCATAGCTATAAAATAATAACATCAATTTTTATAATATTTGACTAACTATATATAGATAGAATTTCTTAGTACGACCCAAATTTAGTTATAATGGAAGTTCATTGAATACTAGAGTATCAGTAAACTAGAAAAAATTAGAAATATTCATAGGTAGTAGTAAGCTACCAAAAAAAAATTAGATGAAAATTAAGTAAAATTACTCATAATTGTTTCAGTATCATCTTTCTCTTGGGAGAATCCCAAACAGAGACACTATCTTCATGTTCATAGACATGGCATCTGCCATCAGGTGGATACACCTTTCCCTCAAAGATAGATGGCTTATAGTCACTTTCCTGTATAATGGCTCTTGAAACGTTTATCCCATTCACAAATTGCAAATTGTAAAGGAAGCCTACAGACCACTTTTAGGAAAAAGGCACTTTGTTGTAAAAGTTGGATTTAATTTCATGCAGCTGAGAAGACTAGGGTGGACTCAAGTCAGTATTCATGTTTGCATTTATGAACACAGAGCAGATGCCAGTTTATAGAACAGAGCTGATCACAGTACAAATCAACCAATCAACAACATTAGTAATATTCTTGGGAAAACAGTAATTTATGATATTTCCCCCCCAAACTAACAAGGCCAAGTTCAACAGTTGGGGGGGGGGGAATCACCAGCAGTTGCTACCTTAGAGCTTACGAAACTGTTGTCAACAGAATTACATGTCTATAGTTTGGTTCTCTGTATCAGAGTGTAAATTGCTTTTCAGAGGACAAACCCGGCTGGCAGAGGTGTGTTTGTTTCTAAGGAGGAGAACCCAGGTCAGAAAACTACTGGGGAGTAACAGGTGCATTTCTCTGGTCGGACAGCCGAGTGAGGAGGTAGTTATTCTGAGGAGGTCTCAGGTCAGATGACTGTGCTCATCTACTGAGTCAGGGACGCAGGAAGCAGGAGCTTCGATGAGATGCAGAGAGCAGCAGGGACACGTCTCCTCCAAGGATGTCAGAACCAGGGCATCAGTGCAGCTGAAAGAGTGGGATGTATGAGAAACAAGGGCAAGAAGCCAAGTGTGAGTCAAGACATTTCAAATTTGTCCTACCTTGACAGTGGCTCTTTTCTGATGACAGAACTTTCAAAGGGTCTAGAAAAGAACACAGTGTCATTTGTTTTCTATATTGTGAATCTTCAAACTCTTGTCCATTCCACAAACATGGCACACATAGGTCACAAATTTCTAATACTAAAAATAGGAAACTGTAGAATAAATGCTGAAGGCAGGCTGGAGAGATGGTTCAGAAGTTAAGAGCACTGGCTGTTTTTCCAGAGGTCCTGAGTTCAATTCCTAGCAACCACGTAGTGGCTCACAACCATCTGTAATGAGATCTGGTATCTTCTTCTGGTATGCAGGCAGAACATTGTATACATAGTAAATAAATCTTAAAAAAAAAAAAAAAAAAAAAAAAAAAAAGAATAAATGCTGAAAGAATAAATTAGGCCTTAGCACTCTGAAAGGGTGCCATTAGGGAAATTAGTTTATAAATGTCGTGTGTGTGTGTGATGTATATCAGTGCCTGTGGAGGCTAGAGGAAGGGCATTGTATTTCTTAGGGCTGGAGTCACAGGTGGCTGTGTGCTACCTAACATGGATGCCTGGAAATGAATTAGGTTCTCTGGAAGAGCAGTAAGTATTCCTAGCCACTGGGCCATGTCTCCAGTTCCCAGGAAAGTTACTTTCTAGTTACAAATTCAGGGAAACTCTCATTTAAACTGCAAAAGACAGTCGCGCTCACACTATTTGGAACAGCCTAATGCTAAATAGTTATGAGAGAACACACACTCACCTTATTACATCACCACACAGGGCAAACCCATACAACCTTGAGTGCCATCATCATTGCTGTTGAGCTTTTTCATTCGGTACTGGCGTATCTCCCTTACTAGTGTGTAAAAGGCATCTTCCACACCCTATTTAAAGAAAAAGGATAGAAGAAAACAAACAAAAAATTGACACAGTCCAAAGTGCAAGCTCTCAAACTTCTTTGTGTGGATTCAAATACTAAATCAATAGTCAATAAATTAGGGTGACTAAGTGTGGTGGTCTGTATAGGAATGGCTCACGTAGACGCATGTGTTTGAGTGCTCGGCCCATAGGGAGTGGCACTATTAGGAGATGTGGCCTTGTTGAAGTAGATGTGGTCTTCTTATTGGAGGAAGTGTGTCACTGTGGAGGTGGGCTTTGAGGTCTTACATGCTCAAACTAGCCCCAAGTAGCACACAGTCTCCCTTCTTCCCTTTTGCTGCTACCTATGGATCAAGATGTAGAGCTCTCAGCTCCTTCTCCAGCACCATGTCTACTTGCATGGTCACCATGTCCTACCATAATGGATGGAAACTCTGAAACTGTAAGCCAGCCCCAATTAAATGTTTTCCTTTATAAGAGTTGCCATGGTAATGGTGTCTCTTCCCAGCAACAGAAACCTTAAGTAAGACAACCATTAAGAAGACACTAAGTCCAGCATTTCTAGGGGATCACACTGATATGCTGATAAAGAAATGGCACGATTGTTTCACAAAGGTAGTCCAGCAAAGAGAAAAGGGCAATGTGGGACACAGAATAGACTATTACTACAAAATATGAGGATTTCCCTCAGTAGAGTTAAGCCCTCGAGAGCGAGGAATGCAAATAGAATACGGATTCACGCTTACAAATATGTTTTAAGTTCTTCACTAGAAAAAAATTAAGCCTGCTAATGCAGAAATAAAAATGCCACAGAACAGTGTTTATGGGGTGGCAGATGACACACAGAAGATTAACAAAAACCCAAAACTAACCAAATAACCGGAAAGTCATTACAAAGAACACAGACTACACCTCTAGCACATTTGAGCAATCAAACCTGCCTTAAATAACCCTCACACTGCTCATATCTCTAGCATACCTGTCGGGTCTTGGCTGAGGTTTCAATGAATGGAATTCCATAACTCTTGGCCAGCTCATGGGCTTGCTTTGTGTCCACTGTCCTGGTTGGCAGGTCACATTTGTTCCCTACCAGTACCATAGGCACATCATCAGAGTCTTTCACTCGTTTAATCTGCTCCCTAAAACATAGAACACAGTAGTAGATAATGAGAATAAGCTTTTTGGGAGGAATAAACTGGGAGGACAAGAGAAGGTGGTAAATCCTTTTAGCTTTTATTATTCAGTTTACAAATTCTGAACACTTACAACTATAGACCCATAAGCTAAGGATGTTGGTTTAGACTTGGTATAGCAGCCATAATGAGGCTTTTAACTTACTAGAAATAGCTGGCTCATATATCCCAACACATGTTTTCATTAGGCTCCTACATTTTTCCAAAGAGCTTGGCTCTGAATTTCATTAAAAACTACAAATAGTACTTTAAGATTAGAAGAATAAAAAGTAGAGCTCATAGATTCTAAATGACTTTAAAAAAATGTTTTATTAATTTGTGTGTGTGCATATGCCATGGCATGCATGTGGAGGTCAGAAGAAAACCCCAGAAGTTGATTTTCTCCTTCTACTGTATGGGTCCTGGGAAATCAAACTCAGGTTGTCAAACTTGGCAGCAAGGACCTTTGCCCACTGAGCTGTCTTCCTGGCCCCTAAGTAATTTTTGGAAGCTACCTCTACAACACTATTTAATGGAATTGAGTCACTTTCAAGATGGGTGGTGCCCTAATACTTTCCTTAAGTATTGGAAGCCCAAGATATGTAACACCAAGAAAATTCTACATTTGCTCTCAATAAGTGTATTTGCATGCAGGCAAGAGATCCGGAACTACCAAAGATAACTTTTCCCCCTTTGTTTTGGTTTCTCAAGACAGGGTTTCTCTGTGTAGCTTTGGAGCCTGTCCTGGAACTCACTCTGTAGGTCAGGCTGGCCTAGAACTCACAGAAACCCACCTATGCCTACCTCCTGAGTGCTGGGATTAAAGGCCTAGGCCATCACATTTGGCAAAGATAGTTTCCTTTTCAATGTCTATAGCACCTGGTACATTCTAGATATTTTAGAATCTCTTGACAAAGAACTTTTTGTGAGAATAGAAACTGGTATCCAACATGGTAGCTACTACTGAGCACTTTGTCAGTTGCTTCTTTGGCCAAGAAAATAATTCTTCAGTTTTGTGTAAATGTTAAATAACCATATCTGGGCATGGCTACTACATTGCATACTACTATTCTAGACTCTATCCTTGGATTTCAGTCACATACCTCAACTGATTCCTACTGGCTATCTACATAGCTACTTTAGTATGTCAGGACCCTTAGCCATCCTCCATTCCCAAACCCAAAACAAAAGAAAAAACAAAAACAAAACAAAGCTGGGTAGTGGCAATACATGCATTTAATCCCAGCATGCAGGAGGAAGCAAAGGCAGGTGGAACTCTTGAGTTCAAGGCCAGCCTGGTCTACTAGCAAGTTCCAGGACAGCTAGGACTGTCTTGAAAAAAAAAAAAAAAAAAAAAAAAAAACAACCAATCAAACAAAAAGAAACCCTGTCTCAAAAAAAAAAAAAAAAAAAAAAAAAAAAACCACAACAACAAAAACAAAAAACAAGCAAATAAACAAAATCCCACAAACAAACCAAGATAACCCACTTCCTCCTTCCATCCCCCCAAAAAACAGGGTCTTATTATATGTCTCAGGTTGGCAGTGAACTCATCATCTAGACCAAGGTAGCCTTGAACTCTTAATCCTCTTGCCTTGGCTTCCCGAGTACCACCATGCCTAGTGGCAGTGGCCTATGTTAAGGATATTATTGTAAACCAGCCTAAGCATTACTCAACGCTTCTGTAAGGATCAGACAATTTCTTCTCAATGTCAGTGTACTTTTCTAAGCAAGCATATACAACCTGAGTAGACAGTTATCATGTCTGTAGTGTGCTCAATGAAGATCACAGGAGTTTCATGACATTACAGAACAAGCTCACTGAATTTGCTCTTCACCTATTCTTAAGCCCATTTCTAAAGTTAACATTATTTTTGCTACACTATACTACATACATGCTACAGTGTGAATGCAGAGGTCAGAGGACGGGTCTTTCCTTTGATCATGTGGGGTCCTGGGACTGAACTCAGTCACCAGGCTTGGTGGCAAATGCCTTTGCCAAGTGAGCCATCTCACTGACACCACTAGACATGTCTACAAGATGCTTTAAATAAGTGGTTGCTCAGCAATAAAGTCATCCCTTGGGATCTAAAAGTATTTAATTTTAAGATTTTGCTACCCCTACAAAGAACACCAAATAATGAAATATGGAAATAAGCTAGGACTCAGAAGGCAGACTTACAAATTATGTTCTATGGGCCAACCATTGTTCTGAGTGTTTATTGTTTGCTCTTGCAACTTTATGAAGCAGGTATTCTTTTATTATTATTATTGTTTCAAGGTTTACTTTTATTTTCTGTGTATAAGTGTTTTTGCTGCGTGCATGTCAGTGTACATGTGTGCCTGATGCTCAGGGAGACCAGGGCAGCGTATCAGATGCTCTAGAACTGGAGTTACAATGGTTTCGAGGCCCATATAGGCGTTGGCAATTGAACCTGGGTCCTCTGGAAGAGTAGTCAGTGCTCTTAACTCTTGAGTAGTTTCTCTAGCCCTGAAGGAGGTGTTCTTAACTCCATAATAAATTCAGAAACCAAGACACAGGTTTAGTATTTTGTCCTGAAGTTAAATCTTTATTTAAATGGTTTTTAAATAAAGCTAAATAAAGTTTAAATAAGACTTTGTCCTAAATTTAAATGTTTATATTTAAGACTTAACTTAGCAAATTAATAAGAGATAAGTTTCAAGCTTGACAGTGCCTAAAGACAGAATACTTCTCTAAGAGAAACACCTGGTGTTTTGGGAGTAGAGCTCTGCTATTAAAGAAAAAAAAAAAAAAAAAAATCACAAAACACTTCTGAACTCTGTGACACTGTAAAGTAAGAATATTGGTTGGGCACGATGGCATAACTGCCTGTAACAGGGAGGCTGAGGCAGGAGGATTATAAATTCAAGGCTAGCCAAGGATTCAGAGCAACATCCTGTCTCAAAAATATAAAATGAATAAATAAGAATGCCCTACTAGAATTTTTAGGGTCCATCTAGCTTTGAAACTTTACAGTTCTATAGGAAAAGGCCACCTTTGTGTTCTTTGGCTTTGCTGTCTATGCCTTTCCTGTTACTCAGTAGCATGCTTTGTTTACAAATGATTAGTATAGTGACAGTATACTATACACAGGAACATTTACTTTCAGTGATAACCAGATTCTTAGCAAGTGCTTTACCACTGAGCTCCAGCTCCAGACCTTAACCTCACTTTTTCTGTAAGAAAAAGGTATGCAAGTGCCAGTGAGACAGCTTAGTCAATGGACAAAGGTGCCTACTAAGCCAAGATTCCCCAGAATCTAAGGAGAGAACTTTCATTAGCTGTCTTCTGAGTCCCATGATGCTCATGTGCCACTGCACACCTGTACCCAACTCCACAAATAATCAAAAATTTAAAAGTTGTATGTTCCCTAAGTTAGAACACATGTAAAATTTTCCTTTCAGAAAATAATATTCCCAGTACCTGTAGAGGTTAATATCTGCAAACGATTTGCTATTGTTGATGGCAAATACGCAAAGGAATCCTTCGCCTGTCCTCATGTACTGGTCTCTCATGGCACTGTATTCCTCTTGTCCAGCTGTGTCCAGTATGTCCAACAGACAAGTCTCACCATCAATTACCACTTGTTTTCGGTAGGAATCCTGGGAATGTGAAAGGGTAAGGTGGTAGTGGTGGCGCATGGGCAGGCTCAATCTGTAACGCTACAGGAATATAATTTCTAACAGGTAGCATGAACATCTCTCTCTCTCTCTCTCTCTCATGCATGGTCAGGGGAGACAGAGGCAGGTGGATGGATATCAATAAATTCAAGGCCATCCTGGTCTATCTTGCAAGTATCAGGCCAGCTAGGGTAGCACAATGAGACTCTAAGCCAGCCTGGGCTATGAGGGTAAGGAAAAAACCAAAACAAACAACAAAGAAACAGATCATTAACAAACCAACAAACTCCAGAAACTTCTGATATGGCTTTATGGCAACAATCTTACTTTTATTATACAATATTCCCACATTTGGAAGGTTTTATCTGTGGTACTAGAAATGTGCTTATTGTTCCATCCTCTGTATGGTTCCAAGAATATTTAATAATGTGGCCTCTGTAGATATCTTAATTTGTCTAACACACCTATATGGTAGTAGAACGGTTTACACATGTAGAAATTCTTTGGTATTTTGTAAATAGCGTCGCAATATGCAGTTTAGGCAAGCCTTGAACTTGGAACCTCCTCCCTCAGCCTCTTGAATGCTGGACTTTACACATACTTACATCAAGTCCAGCAAGGTTATGGAAATTTAACATGGAGAAAAATTAAACTCAAGAGATTTAGGTGATTTTTTTCAATATTCCATAATTACACGGCAGAGATGGAATTCCTAAGCACAATGACTCAAAACTCTCAACTTGTTTCTATCCCAACAGTCTGTACTAGCTCAAGGATGAAAACTGTAGACTATCTAGAGCTCTGAGCTCTTTTTCTGTTGTATGATCTCCTACAATCTTTTTCCTTGCGACCTACATTTTCCTATTTAACGGCTGCAACATATAAAGAAATAAAATGAACTCAGTACTATTTTAAAAAGTCTTTTGAAATTATTTCTACACAAACTCTTTACATTTTACTGTTTTTGGAATACAGTACCTCAAACGCCTTCTTGCTTTCTCTCCTCTTTAGTATCAAAACACAGAGAGGATATATTGGTAAGAAATAGCCAAAAGTGGGAGCCAAGGCCAGGCAGTAGAATGGGCCTCACCTCTATGGTGGGATCATATTCATCCACAAAGTGGTTCTGGATTAACTGGATTGTCAAAGCACTTTTCCCAACACCACCTGCTCCAACCACCACCAGTTTGTACTCAGTCATTTCACACCAGCTAGCACCTGTAGGAAAGCAGCAATCACGATTAAACTGGCAAGGTAAACCGACAGTACTTCAAAGGCTTCTAAATTGAGTTACTAAAATCAGTTTCAAAGGCATCCATTCGATACACGTGGCCTCCCACTAAAGTTCTCAAAAATGATTCCAACACAAAAACACCTGAGGTGAGTGAGGCCACCGCTTCTTTAAGATCCGCGTCTACTTTTAATAGTACTCAGCCCCGCCCTCAACCTACAGGAAAGGAATCCCCCGTTCTATTCCTCTTGCAAACCCAAGCTCTGGGGTCCGCCAGGCACGACCACTTCCCGAAACTCCCTTCCGGCTCCGAAGATCACCCCACGGACCGCCGCAGGCAGCCAGGATCCCCCACCCAGGCCTTTGTCTCCAGCTCTCGAGTCTCCGCGTCTTCCTGCATCCGCCAGGCATCCTTATGCCGCGGAGCCCGTCGCCACTCAGGCAGGAGACTTACCTCAAGCTCCGCTGACCCCGCTTCGGGAGGTTCTTGGACCTCAACCTGAGAAACTATTAGAGACCCCGAAACCGCCATGAACAGCCCCCACCCGGGAGCGGCACTTCCGGCCCCACCCGCTACGTAATCAGTAGGCGCCCAAGCGCCCGAGTCCCCGCCCCAGCCACGTGGGCCCAAGACCTAGCAGTCTTGCAGCTGGCCGCACCCAGTCCCGCCCCTCCCATCCCGGTTTCAATAATGAAAGCGCTGGGTGCTTGTGTCTCAAAAATCAGTAAAACTTTATTCGCTTCCATTCTTTCGCCATTAACAGAAAAACGGAGAAAGCAAAAATGTCTTGTGTTTACAAAGATAAATGGCCTCTTTACCCAGAGATCAAATACTCAAACGACAACGGGGAAGATGAAAGCGCCCTCCCCACAACCCCTGAGCTGACTCTTGTCATCTATAGACAAAAAGCCTTCACTCCACTTGCCAGAGACCCTGTTTGGGGCCAATTCAATGGGGCAGAGAAATCAGGCCAATCCATTCCCGTGATACAAATTTGAACAGAAGCTACACCAAGGATCAAGTGCCTGTATTCAACAGGGCACTGGAACCAGGGGGCTATTTATAAAAAAAACAGGATTCATTTCAGGCACAACTTTTTTATTATTTTTTTGTTTGTTTTGTTTTTAAATCAGTAAAAGAAACTGGGTCCTAGAAGCTGCAGTGATCTAAGCAGCAGCAATTTTGTGCATTCGTCTTTTGTTTAAATATGTTTAAATTATCACACTGCTGGCACACTTCATTTGCATGAAATTCTGCACCATACATACTAATTGTAGTAAAGTTATTTACCCCCCATCCCAGGAAAAAAAAAAAAAAACCTACTCTTACTCTGGAAGATAATTTTCACTGAAATGTAATCAAACTCGTTAAGTGGATTGTGACAAGATTATAAATGATATGAAAATAACATTTTAACATTTGGCCATCAACTTAAGAAAATCGTTTGCTATATAAATTTTTGTAATTTTTTAAAGGTAATATATTCTACCTTCATATGGTCCTCAGAATAAAAGCATAATGAACAGGAAAGGAAAAGAATGCAGCTGAGTGCTAAGTAATGAAGGTAGAGTATATACTGAATAGAGTGCAGAATTTCATAGGGCCAACAAGGTAACAGTCTGTATTGTTCATTTACACAGGCGAAGTGGAATTTGCAATTACCAGTTGCGTTAAATGCACCAAATAAAGCTCCTAAATTGATACTATAAGGCGCCACCTTAAGTTTCCCAGGCTGCAACTGTGCATAATTTTAAAATGGTTTCTTAAATTTATTTATTTTTTTTTAAACATAACACGAGGAAGGTGTTAAAACTGGTGTAATAGCTCAATAGAATAAGTATTCCAGATTGTGGGAGGGATGAAGAGAAAGATATTCAGAACCCTTCACCAGAATCCCCCCAACTTGACCATAGTGGATTAATGATGTGCTTTGTGGGTGTGGTTAGTCAATGACACCAGCTTGACGGATCTTTCTTTCTGCACCAAATCCCTGTGAAGACATAAACCAGTTAAGAATTTGAGTGTATGACAATCACAATGTGAAATTCTAACAAACTATGAGAAATTTAAATTATCATATCCACTACAAATTCTCTCCTAAGAGTAAAAAAATTTACGAAGTAGGCCTGAAAACAAGAAATATGCTTGTTGGTGTGATGGCACACACCTATAAATCCTACCACAGGCAAAACAAGAAAAGAGTGGGGAGTTCAAGGCCACTCTTCTACATGTGACCCTGTCTCAAAAGGAATGAAAACGAGCTTCTTTTCAGAAAGCATCTACAGGGGAAGAATCAATGTGTCAGGAAACCCTAACCAGTGATAAGCAATCCTTGCTTGAAGTAGTATCAGTTGACCTCCCTCAAATCCCCAAAGGAATCATACCATTGAGTTATCTGGTCCTCTTGGCTGACGAAGAACCATTAGACGAGGAGCACTGGCATCATCCAGGGAGATATTCTTCAAGCGATTGACCAATCGATCAGGTCGAGGAGCTGCAACAGCTTTGGGGCCTTCACTGTAAGTATGAAAGTGAGAAAAACCAACAATTGCTGGGAAGAAAGCAATCAGTGAGCAAGTTTCCTACCCAAATGACTCACATTTAATGAGAGGGACTCTTGCCTCAACTTAGCTGGCTAGCAAGACAAGACAGACAAGTTTGGTTATATACATTTTTCTCAGCTCAGTTAAAACTGGATAGGTGTTGTGACAAATTGTTTTCAGTGAGACCCTATACTTGTCTGCAGAGAGACTAATTCCACAGATAACATAAAACAAAGTAACATGGAAAACCTTTTAAAAGTCTAATATAAACACTTCTAGATTTCTATCTTTAAAGGGACCAATGTTGAGATTAAAAACCCTAATAGCATGACTCACAATGACTAAGGTATAAAAATTAGACATTTAAGCAGCATAGGCCTAGAAATGACTTGACAGAAAAAGAGTGAATAAGCCAAATTTCTTAAGAATTATGTAACCTTTTAATATTGAAGATCAGCACACATTCAGTGCTAACACATAACAGTACCCTACACAAGTGTGTCTCAGAGACTCAAGGTCAGATAATAGATACTAGAGACAGAAAAAGATATGGGAGACGGCACATGTCAGCAAGCACAAGGTCAGCCATGAATATAAAGTTCAGACCTGTCTCAAACCAATGACTAGAGTCAAAGGCAAAACTAGATAATGCTAGAAGTAGAAAATAGTACCTAATAAACCTAAACAGACAGAGTGGAAAAGGAAAGAAATCTGGCAAAGCACAGATTACACAAATTGGGGTAATGAACTCAGGGCTGTTACTAATCCAACCACAATAAATAAGCATAAACTCACCAGACTCGCCAAACATTACAGGCACTGCATTTCCCAGTGCGCTGATTAAGAATCACTGAGAATTCCACCTCATCTCCTGCCTGTAACTCAATGCCATCCTGAACTTCTTTCACATGGAAAAAGAGCTTCTTGCTATCTCCTACTTCATAGTTAATAAAGCCAAACTAGAAAAAGAGAACACACACACAGAATTTACAATGGAGAAGACATACTACCAAAAGAAAAAGCACTTCATTTTGAAAGATAGTGCTAACTCTAATTAGAAAGAACTTATACTGATGAGCCAAATTCAGCTGGGTGTAAAGTTACACCTTTGAGATGATTGCCATTCATCTTATAATAAGCTTGACTAAGATAGTACCCACTGAGTAATTATTAATAAGAACTCTTATTTTTTTCCTTGTTAATGTAGCCACTTTCCCCCTTGTCTTCCTCCCAAAACAATATAAAAAAACTACAGGAGTCATGTTGAGTGGTGGTGCACACCTTTAATCCTCCCTCTCCCCAGGCCTGGTCTACAGAGCAAGTTTCAGGACAACCTCCAAAACCTTAGAGAAACCCTATCTCGGAAAACAGGAGTCAGGCATGGCAGTTTAATCCCAGTACCCAAGAGGGCGAGGCAGGTAGATCTCTATGAGTTTGAAGAGAACCTGGTTCACATCATATAGTGAGTTCCAAGCCAGTCAAAGCTATATAGTAGGGGGAAATTTTACATTAATATTGGCTGATGACCTTTTCTTATCAACATTATAAAAGGACAGATGCTGATCCAGAGACACAGCACTTAATTACCTGATCTTTCACACACTCCACAGTGGCCCTACGAAGGGGTGTGATATTGTAGGCCATAGTTTGTGCATTTTGACCAAGGACACACAACTGGAACTTGACACTCTCCCCTTTCTGCAGGCAATCCCCTTTGTTGGCCATCCCAACTATGCCAAATGGATACACTTCACCTTTCATATCCCCTATAAGCAAAGTAACACAAAGTCGTTATCGTAATTTTTTTAAACATGAAAAGTTTTGCCTTAAAAGTTAATAGGAACCTTAAATGTTAAAGATTAACATGGAAGCAGATGACAAAACAAAAACAAACCCAGATAGTTCAACTAACTAACTTCTAAAATTATGAACCAATCAGCCAGAGCTGGAGAGATGGCTCAGCCATTAAAGGCTAGGGTCACAACCAAAAATATGAACCAACCAGCCAAAAATACCGACAAGATGGCAAACTAGCAAGGCATAGGTAAATCAATGCATACATCTGTCATCCAAAATTATTTATGATCCAGATTCCTTTCTCTTAAGAGGTCAGGGCTTATAATCAGGCTCTTCCCACGTGTTCCAATCCCCCACCCCCGTTCTGCCCGTTCTGCACTGTAACAATAAAGAGTGACCTGGAGACCAATGCAAAAGAGAGAAAGTAAGTGACCTGCTCATTGACTATGCATTCAGACAAAGCTAATAGATTAGCAACAGAAATAAGCTATAGAGCAACAAATGCTTAGTTAACCTATTAATAATTATAAGGCTGAGACACAGGTCCCAAATGTTTGAAATAATTCCAGCAGACTAATCTGTAAAGAGGTACAACCATTTTTAAGACGTCTATGATTTATAGTAATCATAGACTCTCCCGAGGCTAAAGATACCACCGTCTTTTTAAAGATGAAGAAAATGAACTAGCATTTAATGTTAAAGTACCATGGGGGGAAAAAAAAAAGCTGGGCAGTGATCCCAGCACCTGCAAGGCTGAGGGAGGAAAACTCTTGAGTTCAAGGCCAGCTTGGTCTACAAAGTGAGTTTCAGGAAAGCTAGGTCTGTCACACAGAGAAACAAAAACCCCGTCTCAAAAAACCAAAACAGACAACTGACAGACAGCACACGTTAAAATTAGTAGACCACATATCTTTTATTTGTCAGGCAGAGTATAACTTGGGTCACAAAGTCAATTCCTATTTGGAGGGCTATGATGGGGCAGGGAAAATTGAACAGTGGAATTCATGTAGAAGGACTTTCTAAGAACCTCATGTGATAAAAAAAAAAACTGGTTATCAAGGTTCTTTTCTTTCTACAAATGAACTTTCTCCCTTAATTTCACATTCTTTCTAGGACATCTTTATGAGACAAATCATCATGTGAGTGAAATGTTTCAACTACTCCATTATTTAATCCTGTTATCCTAATCATTCAGCATTCCCTACTACTTCTATTACACTTACTTGGTGCACACTTTTCAAATA